GGCCGGCAGAGACCGGCGCCGGAGGCGCACGCGCCCGCCCGCCGGCCTGCCACCCGAGGGCGAGCCCACGCTCACGCCCTCCGAGGGCAGCGACACCAGCGCGGCGCCGCTCCCCGACCTGCCCGCCCAGCGCCGCAGCGCCAGCCGCGACACCCTCAAAGGCGGCGGCACGGCGCCGGAGGAGAGCAAGCGCCGCTCGTACCCGCTCAACAGCGCCAGTCTCAACGGCGTCCCCAAGGGCGGCGCCAAGTACGACGACATGGGCTTGACGGGCAACGAGGCGGCCGGGGGCGGCTGCATGAAGACCGGCCTCTGGAAGAGCGAGACCACCGTCTAGGGAGGGACGGGCGGCCAGGACAGGTTGGCCACGCGGGCCTTGGAGGTGGCCACCGGCGAGCCGGCAGTCCTGCGGTGGCGGCGCCCCTGGTGCACCTGGAGGTCGGGGAGGAACTGGCCAGCTGCGCCCCTCTGTGGCAGCCACCCCGGAATCATCCAGGACCCTCTGGGCAGTTCTGACAATCGTTAGGGGGGCCCTCCCAGGGAAGGGACCACCTGTAGTCTGCTGGGTGACCCAGGACCTTACGAAGGGCAAAATACACGGGGCCAGCCACACCTGTCCACATTGGGGAGCCTGGGCGCTCTCCCTCACTGGCCCCCACTGTCACCCCAGTCCCAGCCCGGTGCAAGAGCCTCACTCGCACCTGTCCCAGGTCTGGCCAGCGTGAGGCAGCCTAGCAGATGAGCCAAGGGCCCAGGCCCAGGGACAGTAACAGGTGCTGCTTTTTAAACTATGCAAGAGGGGAAGGCAACTGGGAGAGGGTGCAGCCAGTCCTGCGAGGGGCACAGGAGGACTGAGGCCGTTCCCACGGGAGCAGTGGCCATCACAGCTGCTGAAGCCCAAGAGGCTGACCCCGCCAGGAGCCCGAGGTGTTCTGAGGGAAGCCCAGGGAGCTGTGACGATCAGATCGTGCCCCGTGTCCACCACTGACAAGGAGTGTCTTCATCCCACTGCTGGTTTGAGCAGGAGGCTCAGGCCCCTCCTCCGATTCCTTCCTCACCTCCCATGCAACACTGTGATCTCTGGAAGCCCTCCACAGGCCATCCCAGCTTCCTGACCCAGGCCCAAGCTGTGAGGCCGAGCCATCAGGGGGCCGTGCTGTCACTAGCTTTAACCAGCACCACCATCCTTTACTGCAGGGCCAGATGGCAGTAGAGGCTGGGCCTTGCAAAGAGCAACAGGAACCCCAGGTCTGCCCCGGGCTCCCTCCCGGCCTATCACACCACCCTGCCGCCAAGGCAAGAGGACCCGGGGGAGGGAGGACACCCGCACTCCTCGGGACGGCCGTTATTGATGCTTGCTGCACACACATTAGCAGAAAAAGAAAGCTTTGTATTACTCTTCACGTATGCGGCTGCTGTCTACACACCCTGCCAACGCCTTAGCACTGGAGAGCTTGCGATACGCTGGGGAGAGGGGCGGGAGGGGACAAGTGCCAAAGAAAACGTGTTTTTAAAGCTCGGGTTTTATACAATAGAATGTTTTCTAGCAGATGCCTCTTGTTTTAATATATTAAAATATCACAAAGCCCTCGAGCTCCGGCCTCGGTCCACCCGTGGTCCTTTCATTACGAGGTGGAGGGTCTCACACCAAGTGCAAACCGCCCCAGCCTGTGAACACACACAGTGCCAGGGACCCCCAGCTCTGCTCCTCAGGAGGAAGCCCTGGAGTGGTGAGAGCCCCACAGGCTGCCAGACGCCCACCAGCCTGCAGAAGGCCCAGCGGAGTGCTGCAGCGTCTTCATGCCAGTCCACGGACAGCCATCCCACAGATCGTGGGCATGTGCAACTGGTTTCCTGGGCCCTCTTGCCCACGGCCACCCCCACACTGACTCCTGCTGCAGGACCCAGGGTCCAGCCAATTCCAGAGCCCCGCTCAACTCCTTCACACCAGAAAGGTGAAACCTAAGGACTCGAATACACGAATCCCCCGGCTGTGGGAGGCGATTCTCATGCCGCCATCAGAAGACGTGAAGTACCCCAACGTGTGCCGGCAGGGTTACGAGCAGGTGGCAGCCTGGGCCCTCTGGAAGTCCCTAATCTCCTCAGGGCTACGCAAATACTGCTCTATCTCACTGTCAGAAATGTTCTCGTCACCGGTGACTGTGGACATGGGGGGTGTGGGACAGACCCGCTTGGGAGGCTTCAGCATGCAGGGGGGGAGGAGGAGGGCAGGGCTGGGTGGTCGCTTGCCCTCAGGCAGATCTGAGGAGCCGTTCTCCACCTCCTGGTCCCCCTGCTCAGCCTCCTGCCCCCACCCTGGCAGCTCCTTCTCCTGGGCCTCCGCTTCTGCAGTTGCCTCCCGAAAGGCCTTGCGGAGCAGCAGCTGGCGGTGCTGCAGGAGGTCGCCAACGTGCTTCACCACCGACCGCCGGTTGAGCTGCAGCACCTGCAGCCAGGCCAGCTGGGCAGCCATCCGCAGCAGCACGGCCAGCAGCTCCTGCAGGCGGGAGGCAGCGGGGCAGGGCAGGTCCACATTGGCCAACTTGCAGAATCGGGCCAGGGAACATGGCAGGGGAGCTGAGGGCCGCAGCGACTGCCAAGCCAGGAAGGCAGCAGCGGTGATGACAGGTAAGGGGTGCCGCCCGGTCACCAGCCACGTCTCGCTCGCCAGCTCCACCAGCTGCAGCGTTCGCGACACCATCTTCTCCTTATCTTCCACGTACTTGGCGGGCACAGACGGAGAAGCCTGGAACAATCTGAAGCTGGAAAAACCGAAACGAGGGCCAGGCGTCAATGGTTACGAGGGCAAGCTCTTCCAGTGAGCAAGGACAGCCCACTCGGGAGTGGGAGGCTTCCCCTCTGGGGAACACTCATGGTCCCTGGGCAGCAAGTGCAGAGGTACCAAGAGCAGACGGGCAAGGCCTCTGCCTGCGAGGGGAAGGCAGGAGGGGAATGGCGGTGGCGTTCTGAGTGCCTGACACCGCTCGGTTCACCCAGCTGGAAATGCTTGCTGTTATGCGTGTCTGCAGGTGAAAGGCCAAGCCAAGCTAGCAAGTTGCCAAGCTGCAAGTCAAGGCTATTTGACATCAAAACCTCTACTATTCAGAAAAAAAGAAAAGAACACAGCTACATGCACACACATACATTTAGTTTTTTTTTTTTTTTTTTTTTTTTTTTTGCTCTAGGGTGTGTGCACCTGTTAGAAATGGAGAGTGATAGAGAGGGAAGGTGAGGAATCCCCCCCCGCCCCCCGGGGATGGCCACACTGCAACTCCCTGTCCTCCACTCTCCTCTCAGGATTCTGGGCACACACGCACATGTACCTGGTATGACTTTCAAGCTGCTAGGTCCAGGACTCAAATTGTGTAGTTGGCCACTTGGGATCCAGCGCTTTAACCTTCACGCCACCTGCTGGCCCAAGTCTTAACCCCATTTCTGTCACTAGTATACTTCAGCTCCACTTGCAGATCCCGTCAAAGCGGGACCATGCCCGTGGCCACACAAGGCCCAACTGCAGGGGCAGTAGGTTTTCCTTCCGAATGGGCTTTGGTTGAAAAGAGACAGCCGAAGGTAAAAGGACTCAGGTGTACGGGCCCACCCCGTCCCAGTGCCTCCCCCAGGAGCGTACCTGCTACAGTAGGTCTTCACCAGGTCTGCCAAGCACAGCGTCGGCACGTCCAGCCCCAGGAGCTTCACCATCTGCATGTAGGTGCCAGAAAACACTTCCAGGTCTGCATACAACAGGGTGCAGATGGTGCCCATGGTCAGGGGCCAGTTGTGCTGCCTGCAGGTAATTAAGACACAGCACCCGACCAGCACCTCCTTCTTCTGCAGCCTGGCCGCGCGGATGCCAGAGTGCCGGTATGCCTGTTGGTAATACGCAACTGCTGTGTCTTCAAAGGTTGAAGGCAGCTGCAGGACGCGACAGAGGTCCCTCACTCGGCGGAGACCTAGGAAAACCCACAGCAAGAGTTAGAGGGGTCAGAGGACCACTGTGTGGCAACTCGCAAGGTCTGCTAGGACTCAGTTCACATCTAAGCTCACCTCAGACAGACGCACAAACTACAGACTACCTCTTTGGCAGGAATGATGCTTGGTCTGGTCATACATTTTATTTAATAAGAGAAGATGAACTCCCTGACAGGGACTTGTCACACTGTGATTCCCCTCCCCAGCCCTCCACCTCTCCAGCATCCTGCGCACCCAAGCATGTTTTCACACTGACGCGGGGATGGCAATCCATGCTCGCCCTAAGGCTTCCAGGCTTACCCAACAAGCCTGTTACTGTTGACCCACAGCAGCTGGGCCTGGTGTGGTCGTCTCAGAGGTACAGTATTACAGGACGGGTCAGTGTAGCCCATCATCTTTCGGACGCTGGTTCAATTCAGGGTCAAGACAAAGTTTTATCCGGGTTCTGAAAGGTTTCTCAAACGTACCCCTGAGCAAACCCAAACCTTACATCGAATTCGTCCCTCTCTCAGAACAATCCCCATCCTCTATTTCTAACTGTCTTCCTCTTCTCTACCTTACACCAGTAATGCTGAAAACACGAAAAGCAAGCAGATTGTCTAAGTCATCAGGACCATTTTTTTAAGGCCACTGTCACAGACATTCTCACCTCGCTGTTGGCTGCGACTAACTTGTTCGTTTTCTCCTGTGCTTCGGGAATAGGTTACTTCTGTAAGATAGCAAACAAGAAACAGGGCCCTTAATCTTTACTCATCAAACCCCTCCCACCACCCCAGGCTAGGGAGCACCTGCTGCCTCACAGAAGGCGCATCTACACTCAGTTCAAGGCCCATCTGGGTGTCTAGGTCCACAGCAGCATCGCAGACAGACGTTAAGCAAAGTTAAGACAACACTGAAATGGCAGTCACCCCCCCTGTACATCCAATCCAGGTAATTTTCCTGGCGGCATGTTGAGTACAGCACTGATCAGGGACCTAGAAAGCATGCTCCCCAAGAAAAAAGCCAATCCTCCCAACCAAGATGTTTCTGCCAAGCACTGCTAAAAAAAAAAAAAAATTGGAGGGAAGGGGATAGTAGGTGGCATGGTGGTTGAGGTGCTGGACTCTGGCATGGTCGACTGAGGTTCAAATCCAGGACATGGTGGCTTGAAACTCACAAAAAGTTCAGGTGCATGCGTGACCCAAATCCCAATGCAGAAGGGATTGCAGGGTGACCATTCCCCCGGGGGGTAATTTCTCCAGCAAGCACACATGCCTTATAGCAAAAATCTCTCTCTCAAAAAAAAAAAATATATATATACACACACACACACACACATATGTATGTACATACACAAATAGGTCTTTACTAGTTAAAAGAAAATGACCCACAATCCTTCCATCGTGATCAAACCAGCCAAACTGAGCGGAAGTCTGTCTCTGTGTCTCACCTATTCACAATACACTGCACCCACTGTAAACGGGAACGGTATACCAGATACCGTACTAGTGGCTGCGAAAGCACACGAGCAGCAGCCCCTGCCGGGCTTCGGTCACCTGCTCGTCACAGCCCGTTCTCCCCATATTTAAGTGTGCACGCGGCGGCGGG